ACCGTCATATAATAAAATACAAATGTAGCTACAGTGCCAAAACTACCACTTTGGATGTACTACAAACATTAGATCTATGAAAGGCATCAGTCTTTTGGAATTAGCCATATCAATTCACCCTAAATGAGTTTCATCAATCAATGAAATAGAATTATCGAAATTATATTTTAGATATAAACACTTCGGTCATAATTAAATAACAAAGGTTGTTAAACAACCAAAATATTATTTCAGGATTATTTCAAGGATTATTAATTAATTAAAATTTGTATTATACAAATAACCATTTGATAATAACAATATAGTTTTCAATTCTCGAAATAATATCTTAGATATGAACACTTCGGTCATAAATAAACAACAACAGTTATAAAATAACCAAAATGTTATTTCAAAAAAACTGTAGTTTTGAATTTTTTTAATAAGACATTTTATTTGTTTCTAGCCGAGAATCGAAAATTTTACAAAGCTATAACATACATTATTTATCATAGCTACAAAAAATTTTAGTATCCCCAGTAAAACGAATTTCATCAATACACCAAATTTTAATTATTTTAATAGATTTCAATATCTGACAATTTGTTTAAACATTTTTAAAACTCTATTCTTTATTTCTCATTTTCAAACAAAGTTCAAGGGATTTAGGTCTGCTTATGTACTATAACTTAAGATCTGTATAAGGCATCTGTCTTGGAATTTTCCATCTCAATTCACCCTAAACGAGTTTCTTCCATACGTAGAATTTAAATTATCTTAACAGATTTCAATTCCTGACGATTCTTTTAAAACTTTAAGAGCCATGTTCATTTAATTGTAAACACAATTACTCAATTACTTTATTGCTCAATTCTAGGCTTGCACTTAAAGAGTCCTAATAAATAAAAAGATTTTTTAATTAGTAATTCCTCAGGTGACATCCTTCAGTATGCCTGCACACGTCAGTTGTATCAAATTTAAATCATACCCATTTTCCACCCCCCTAGGGGGTTAGGTTAGGGGGTACAAGTATTTTTGTTTTTTAGCCGTAATTTTAGGACCTTTAAGAAGAAAATTAGTCAGTAGTTAGAACTCTTATGTATCCACAACATATTAAACGAAAAAGGTTTATTTGACACCGTATATTTCAATTCATAAATACATAAGAATATTTAATTACTATAATATTTAATTTCAAATACTGTTTAAGATTGTGATTCAATATTCATCACTATAGGAACTAAAAATTGATGTCATAGAGTCTTCTGCGCTATCATGTTTTTCAACAAAAAATACTGTTTCCAAGAATTCCGCAAAGTTTACTTTTTTAATACCTAAATCGAAAAAATTAATTTTTTTTATTAGGCGATGACCAATAATCGTTGTTAAATAAATCATTTTAACACTGTTTAAATTAACTTCACCATCGAAATTCTCTAAATTAAGTCGCTTTTCTTCAATAAGGTCTGACGACTCTTCCATTTATTTTGAAATAAGGTCTATGTATTCCTTGAAGTCGGCATACTCCTTAGGAGACAGTTCACCGTCTTTACTAACGTTAAACTCGTTGAAGTCGTTTCTGGCATACATGACCTCGCTTGGACTTATCACTCTTAAATCCTAAGAAATTGATAATGTAAAAATGTATAAAAAGTGAGATAGTATAACAAATATAGCAGTGAATAACTTTAAGATGTATAAAACAGAAAATTATAAGCGATATTACATTCTCCATTAACATTTCTTTGCGTTCTGCCGCAGCCATGATTAAATCCATCAACAATATTCCAACGAGTCCTGTGTGAGTTTTAATAATTAGTCCAATTTTTTATCATAATAAGTAATATTATAATAAAGAATTTGTTTAATCTTACTATACGATTTAAATAGCAGTTTCAATTCGTCGTTTACGGTTATACCAAGATCATTGAACACTTTTTCACTTTTTTCAGGATCAATTCTACCGGATGTCTTTTGAGCTTCGTACAAAATACCAAATTTTTTATTTGTGCTAGGGTCAAACCATTGCCCTACAATAAAAGTAACAATGAATATACATCCAAACATTGAAGAACTTATGGAGTGTTCAGCATCAAGGAAGTCATTAAGTATAAATTTACTCCATGTTAAATTTTTTAAATTTTTTTTATTTATTTTACAAAAACAATCTATACAAATATGTATGTACAATAAGTTTTTTTTTTATCTAAATTATAACAGGGCATGTATGTCTTGAAAAGGAAGCTACCCATTGGTAACACCTCTATAGTAAGTTGGGTTAGGTTATAAGTTGTTTATTTTATGTTAGTAAGTCTCTACTCCAGTTACGTTTTAGTCTGCGTGGAGGGTCGTCAGGGATATTGGCCGTGTGCATGCGTTTTATTAGGGGGTTTGAGTTTGAATTTAGTTTTGCGTGGAATCTAAAGTAATGTATTTTGGCTAGTTCGTTAACAGTGACTATTTTTAGGTCTTTATGTAAGTTGTTGTTTGTTATATACCAAGGAGCATTTGTAATCATTCGCAGTGTAATATTTTGAAACGCCTGTATTGGTCTTATAGTTGACGGTTTAGCTGGTCCCCATATTTGTATTCCATAAGCCCATATTGGACGAATTATTGACTTGTATATAAGCAGTTTAGTCTTGAGTGACAGATTAGACTTTAGCAGAGGGCGCAAAAGATGTAGTCTGATATTTGATTTTTTCCTTTTTTCTTTGAGGTGTGGTCCCCAGGTTAGACGATTGTCAAGAGTTAGACCAAGATATTTTGTTTCATTTTGAGTAGCGATAATTGTATTGTTAAGTATTATAGCGGGACTTATTTCCGGACGGAGGGCGAAGGTGACTTGACTGGACTTGTTTACATTGGTTTTGATTTTCCAATTCCTAAACCATTTCTCACAAGCGTTAGTGTGTGATTGGAGATGGTGAGCCGCATCGTTTATATTTTTGTGACGACTTAGAATAGCTGTATCGTCAGCAAAATTAGCTAGTAATGTGTTACAACTTTGCGGCATATCAGCAGTAAATATGTTATAAAGGTCGGGAGAAAGATCGCTACCTTGAGGGACCCCGGCCTCAATTGTGTAGTAAGATGAATAAGCACAACCTTGTCTGACAATGAATTTTCTATCTTGTAAATATGATTTTATAATGAGATATAAAGGGGCTGGAAATATTTTTTTCAATTTGAAAAGTAAACCATTGTGCCAAACTCTGTCGAACGCTTGTGCGACATCAAGAAATAAGCCAGTACAATATTGCTTGTTTTCAAAAGATGAAGCGATCGCATCTGTCAGTCGGTGGATTTGATGAATTGTGGAATGCCTTGCACGAAACCCAAACTGGGTATTAGGGATTATATTGTGTTCCTGTATGACCGGTCGAATTCTTTTTAATAGTAATTTTTCAAAGAGTTTGCTCAATGTAAACAATAAACTAATAGGCCTGTATGACATAACTAAATTTTTTGGTTTGCCGGGCTTAGGTATGACAACAACTACGGCTATTTTCCAGATAGGGGGAAAGTAGGAAAGTCGGAGTATAGCATTATAAATAAAGGTTAAAAGGAGAATACATTTTTGGGAAAGGTTCATCAATAATTTATTGGTAATAAGATCATTACCAGGAGCTTTGCCTTTAGGTAATTTTTTGATTGTCGCTTGAACTTCTTCTGGGCTGAAAGGTATGTTAAATTTAAAACGAAAAATAAATTAATTTTTATAATTTGTAAGAATGGTAAGTCATGTTTATAAATCATTTTGTATTTTTCTAAATTTATTTTATTTAGTTATTCGAGGATAGATAAATATACATGTATACCAATTTGATGTTAATAATAAATAATTGAAAATTGTGTATGCAATTATGATTTTTTTTTTTGGTTGCCAAAAGGTAAATTTAAAATGTTAGGGTCACTCTCATAAAAGGTTGGGAACCGCTGCTAAACTTTAGCACTAAAGATTAGCTGTTGGTAAGCTTAGTAATCTGTAAGACTCGCTTTATGGTACTATTATCAAAAGCAGGTTCCAACAATACATCACTGGACTCTTTATATTATAAATGACAATATTTTGACAACATTTTGTCTTTTTGATCACTTAAAACTTCACAGAATTAGAACTACGAAAATGGGATTCATGTAGAAAAACAATTTAATTTATACTAAGAAATTCTGAACAAAAAGAATTCTCATTACCCACAGTATTAACAAGTATAATAATATATTATAGTTTACACAACCGTCTTATAATAAAATGTTAATGTACCTACAGTGTTACAACTACTACTTTTGAGGCATCAAAACTTATAGTTTTTAACGGTTAAATACAGTTGTTTCTTTTTGAATTTGAGCATTGATTCACTTTTCTTAGATATTTGTGTCCTTGTTTTTAATGTATCAAATATTTTTTGATCGATGTAATATAAATAAACACATATTCAGATTAGACTATAACTCCAGTCTAAATTTCAGCTCTTAAATTTTGAAAGAGTAACCTAACCTAACCTTTCTCGATTTTGACACTACTCTCAACTCTACAGATACAATTAAATGTTATATATATTTATTTATTATCAAAAACTAAGACGGAGCAGATAAGGTTAATTTATAATTTTAATATAATAAAAACTAATTATTTAACATTTTTATAAATTTATGATATTTAAAAATACAATTTTCAAATCACCCAAATAGTACAGTATTCAATTAACACAAAAAAAAACACCCTCTAAATTTTTAAAAATGAATACATAAACCTTGAATTTTTATTTAAATAATAAGTTAATTTAATTTAACTTAAATTGAATAATTTAAAAAGTTTGATTTTATCAATATAGCGAACGGCGAAAAGATGTTGCAGTAAATTTGTAGCCCTAAAATATTATTACAAAAACAAATTAACAATGCGATAATAATACAATATGTAAAAATATATCAAATTTAATATCCTTCAGTTGAAGAAAAAACAAAAAATGTGTAAGAGTAAACATATTACTTGCTTGGGGGTTGCAAATGTTTAAATCCTCCACAGGCCAGTATTGTAGCGTATACATTATTCTTTAAATATCATTAATGTATAAAACTCGATCCATGACATATCAGTTTCTAGAAATCAATTAAAAAGTATTCACATTAAAATTTATCAAACTATACAGTGCTGTAACGAGTCGAGTGGTTGCAATTATTATTATTGCGTTTTTATGTACAAAGTTTGGCCATGACGGGTGTTATAAAAAGCCATCTTAAATCAATAATTTAGTTTTTGAATAATTTAAAATCATGTCGAAAAAAATTTCATGAGCAATGTTATAAAATTAATATTTTAATGTTAAATAAAACCAGTCCAACAGTCATAAAATTGTTTTGTAACATATTTCATCGAAAATTTTGTAACAAATTTCGTCGAAAAAGAAGATAAAAGCGTTCTACATTTTTAAAACTTGTTCTTTCTACGTACCTTTCAATGCTGTTGTCAGTTCGTTATCACCCAGCTCTAGTTTCTCCTGTAAATACTCTTTAACTGCGCTCTTGGTAACTGGACGGTTTTTGACGATTCCGTTATAAATTTCTTGGAGATCCTAAAATTATAAAAATGTTTTTAAAATCAGGGGAACATATTTTGTTACGGGCCAAGGAACCCCAGACGACCTCCAGCTCTTACTGGCGGAAAGCTCTAAGCGAGCGAATTCAGTAAGTACGTTTATTCCCTAATGGGGATTAAACACCTGATGGAGGGCAGCAGTAACCATCAGTACTGAAACGAGGCGGAAGAAGAACCTTCTGGTACGGCTTGTTATCAGATTATTCAGAATATTATTATCAGAATACTGCGATGAGGAAAGTAAGGGGAGACTACCACATGATACTCCCATGTCTTAAGAACAGAAAAAACATTGCCAAAAGCTACGTATGGAGTGTTTTGTTGTATAGTTGTAAGCCTGGACCTTGACAGTACGAGATACAAGAAACTTGAAACAATAGAAATGTGGATCTGGAGAAGATTACTTCGTATTAGTCGGACTGAAAGAAAGAGCAATGAAGAAATTCTCCAAATAGTAGAGGAAACGAGAGTATTGCTATCCATCATTAGATGATTGGAATGGCTGGATGCAACGGGTATTCACATATGAAGATTCTAGCATTAAAGAGAGAAGAGTGGAAGTCTATATTTTCGCTATGACTAGGCTTAGCCTTTAGAAAATAAAGATCCTATATTAGGATAGAAAAAAATCATAATTACCCAAAAAGTAAATCTTGATGTTATTACTGCTATAAATTCGTTCGGTGACATTTTAGTACCTAGAAAGCATTATAAAAGTGTTCACCAAACTATAATATGCTGTAACGGATGGAGTTGTTGCAATTTTCGTTATATCGCGATAGCGTTAAAAACAAAATTCTTGGGGAATGTCGTTAAATGAATATTTCAATATTAATTACAGAAAGTGTAACTATTACAAAATGTTTCACATTCTAACACGATTTGTAAAAAATAAGATAAAAGCGTTTTATATTTTTATAGTAACTTGATCTACCTAACTACCTTTACAGACGCCTTCTGCATTTTTTTTACCCCCCGACGCCTTTTTCATAATAGTATATATACCCCTTAGAAATGTTGGAAAAAACGCACTACCCAATATCTATCGATATTTATTTATGTATAACATCAATGTGAATATTAGTTTTCACATTTCACACATATAATTTACAATATCGATTAATTAATTATTATTATTATTCAACGTACTCCACACTGAATTACGTATCTTATAGTTATCGAATTCAGAAATATCAAAATTTTCGATCACTTTTTTTTGTCCTATGTATTCTTCTACTGTATCCTTGGTAACATCTTTGCCTTGTTCTAAAATCTTTGTATAAAGTCTGTCTAGATTCTAAAATTATTACATTTTTAATAAACAATGTGAATACTACTGTTTTAGAAATAATGTGTCTCAAATTTTTACTATTATATCAACCAATAGATTTATAGAGAATTATATTTTTTTTTTAACGAATCAGATAGATTAATTAGATAGAATAAGATAAAAAAAAAATTTAATTACCCACGGATCTTTGCAAATCCCAAGATTTGCTGTAGACAAATGAACAAACAAAGATAAAAACAGTATACAATTTTTAAAATTCATGATTGTCTGTTTTTTTTTAACGCCTAAGATATTCGAATACTGTTCTGCCGTTGTTTAAAACTTAAATGATTCTTATTCTTTTAAATGGCTTCTGTTGTAGCGATTTCAGTGTAAAACGTATAAAACTTGTATAAACGCATATGTATTTTGTTTGTTCAATGTAGTTTAAAATTCCATTTTAAAATAAATAATCGTGGCTATAGCCTATGAATCGTAAAAAAATAGTAGTTGTTTTGCCGCTTGACAAATACAAACAATTTAGCTATTACTTGTTTATTCATCCGTCTTTAAACTTTTTGTAGAATAAACGTATTATAAAAAAATTATTGTTTTTCAAATTACTTCCAAATTGATATTGTAATTTTAGATGTTTTATTATTTGTATTATGTTTGTTTCATATGATTACAATGGGAAACTTAACCAAGTTAGGAATCCAAGATTTTAGTTCTATATTTGAAACGAATGAAGCAAGGTCCGAACATACTATCTTTGAACAATAGTTTAGTATTGTACTGGTGAAGAGATACACGAAAAGTCTCTCAGAATTTTCCATCTCAATTCACCCCAAACGAGTTTTATTACTACACCGAATTTGATATTATTTTAATAAATTTCAATTTCTGAAGATTCATTTTGACACTTTAAGAACCGTTTTCATATATGTAGTTGTATACACAATTACTCAATCACTCTTTTACTCAGTTCTAGCCTGGCAGAGATGTTATTGCGATTTCAGTGTAAAACTTAATAAATGTATATGTACAATTATTTTATTATATGTTGAAATTGTATATTGAATTGTGGCTACAGTCTATGAATCGTATAAAAACAGTAGTGTTTTTGCCGTTTAAAAAAAACAAAAAATGTATCTAATACCTATTTACAAAACCGTCACATAGCAATATATTAGTACTTTTTAGCTTGTCGTGAACTAACCGTTTTATAGGAAAAATATTTGTTTTCAAATCACTCACATTGATATTATTTTTTAAGACGTTGTATTTTTTGTATTAGGTTACTTTCGTATGATTAAACTGGTAAACTTACTTAAGTTAGGAATCCTTGATTTTATTTCTACTGTTGTAAAACTTTTTTTTTTAATGAATGACATAATATCATTGGATAATAGTGTGGTATTATATTGGTGACATCATACATTGTTATTTTAGACGTTATATTATTTGTATTATGTTTCTTTCATATGATTACAATGGGACACTTAACCAAGTTAGGAATCCAGGATTTTAATTCTATATTTTAAACGAATGAAGCAAAGTTCCGGGTTCGAACATACTATCTTTAAACAATAGTTTAGTATTGTACTGGTAAAAAGATATACGAAAAGTCTCTCAGAATTTTCCATCTCAATTTACCCCAAACGAGTTTTATCATTACACCGAATTTGATATTATTTTAACCCTTCACTGAATGAATTTTTTTTAAACCATATGCTATAAATGTACTTAGTACTACTTAAAAAAATAAAAATAAATTTTTTTTGAGTTTTGGTTTCATGAAAAATACTAATTAAAGAATTGTTCCAAATATGAAACATTGTGCATACAAAGATGTATAGCAAGAACAGATGTAAACAATACATACAATAGTTCCATATATGGAACATTGTGCAGTGAAGGGTTAATAGATATCAATTTCTGAAGATTAATTTTAATACTTTAAGAACCGTCTTCATGTAGTTGTGTACATGATTACTCAATCACTCTAATTATTTCAAAATTATAAGTATGAGCTTGTAAAAAAAGTAAATTTAAAACAAGTTGTCGTTTAGTTATATCATTTGGGACGATATTAATCATTCGTTTCAGGAACAATATTACTATTTACTATACAACACATACGGTTTGATAATATATTTCATAGTATTCAACATTTCTGATACCCCATTTCATATATATATATTCTTTAAAATTATCACATTATTTATAAAGTGTGAAATCAAAAGATTTGAAATTCAAGTAGTATATTATATGATAGGATTATTCAAGTTTTTATTTTAGAAACAACCTTCGATAATGACAATGTTTTTTATTCTTAAAAAATAATATTTTTGATTAAGACACTTAGGTCATAAATAAACAACAACAGTTGTAAAATAACCAAAATTTTATTTCAAAAAAGGACTGTAATTTTGTATTTTGGTCGATAAGACATATTATTATTTGTTTCCAGCTGAGAACAGAAAATGGTACACAGCTAAAAATGTCATTACCTACTCATTATTTATTTTTACTAGAAATAATGTTAGTATTCCAACGATAAGTATTCGTATTGTATATTAGATAAGATAATTTGGTATCGCTTCAAACTAAAAAAATCGTATTTAGTTAACTTCATACTTGTTTTGCTTAATACAAAAACATATTATTATTTGAATAATACACGTGCAAAATATTTTTCTGCTCTAGCCTGGCTGTGGTGTTATTGCGATTTTATGCATATTGTTTTTTCAATATAGGTTGAAATTTTAAAATTAATAATCGTGGCTACAGCCTATGAATCGTAAAAACAAGTAGTTGTTTTCAAATATTATGTAGCCTTAATATTTTTTTTTGTCTTAAGCACAAAAACATGTTTTTATTATTTGAACAATTCTTATGCACGTTATTTTTTACACATTTAGATCTTTAAGAAGTCTATTCAAAATAATTATAAACTCTTCAAAATTGCTGAAAACCCATTTGCTATATTTAATCTTAAATTTTAACACATTATATATAATGTACGAAATCAATACATATAAAATTTAATTAGTATATTATATGATAGGATTATTATAATTAAATTTTATTATACAAATAACCATTTGATAATGACAAAATAGCTTTTCAATACTCGAAATAATATCTTAGATATGAACACTTCGGTCATAAATAAACAACAACGGTTGTAAAGTAACCGAAATGTTATTTCAAAAAAACTGTAGTTTTGAATTTTTTTTTATAAGACATTTTATTTGTTTCTAGCCGAGTATCGAAAATCTTACAAAGTTAAAACATACATTTTTTATCATAGCTACAAACAATTTTGGTATCCTAATGTAAAACGAGATTCATCAATACACCAACTTTTAATTATTTTTATATATTTCAAGGGAAGTTCTAGTGATTTAGGTCTGCTTATGTACTATAACATTAGATCTGTAAGAGGCATCTGTATTGGAATTTTCCATCGCAATTTACCCTAAACAAGTTTCATCCATACGTAGAATTTCAATTATATTAACAGATTTCCATTCCTAACGTGTCCTTTAAAACTTTAATAGCCATGTTTATATAATTGTACCTAAATACAATTACTCTATTATTTTATTGCTTAATTCTAGCCTTGCACTTAAAGATTCATAAAAAATAAAAAGATTTTTATTAGTAATTTCTCATGTGACACCTGTAAATTGGCATCGAAGTAAATGAAGGATGTCTTCGGTATGCCCGCACACGTCAGTTGTTTCAAATTTTAATTACACCCATTTTCCACCCACCTAGGGGTTAGGTTAGGGGGTACAAGTTTTTTTGTCTTTTTAGTTTTTTAACCATAATTTTAGGACCTTTAAGTAGAAAATTTGCCAATAGTTAGAACTCATATGTATTCTTAACATATTAAACGAAAAAGGTTTATTAGACACCGTATACTTCAATTCGTAAATCCATAAAAATATTTCAAATATTTAATTATTATTAAATATTTCGATTGGCATCGAATCAAATTTTTCATAATATAATCACTCATAGTTGTATTTATTTCTGAAAACCATTCACTTTCTTAACTAAGTTTAAATCAACGTAAATTCAAATCAGATGATTTTATATACATTTTATAAAATGTGTAGGCATTCCTACAGTTTCTGTTGTTTTTCAAACCGATATATTTATACATGAGTAACCTTAATATGTTTTACGTTATATACAAAAATGGTTTTTTCCATTTTTTTAACAATACCCATGCACATTATTTTTCTATTTATTTACTACGCCTTTAGGTATTTAAAAGGCCTCTGTCTCTAGGGAGACTTACATTCCAGCTTTAAAATAATATTGTTATTAATTATATTGAAGTTTGTTTTTCATTATATTTGTAGAGAATATAAAACGAAAGCTACAGCAGTCCCTACGTAAGGTTTACTTTTATAATATCAGTTGTTTAAAACTCGAAAAAATAGTTGACTGTTATGGTGGTACATTATGTTCAGGTCGCAAAATTTAACTGTAATGGAAGTATATAACATGTATTTTCTATATATTAAAATATCATTTATGTTAAGTACAAATGATTGTAACATAAATCATTGACCATTCCAACATAATTTAACAAGTGATAAACAAGTGTAACTCAGTGTTACACAAGTTTTAAAATAAAATAGTTCAGTGTTTTTTTTTATATAGGCCAAACTGTATAGTATGCATATACTATGAGTTCAAACAGACATTTTATTTAGCATCAACAGTAAAAGATAAAGTATATTTGTATAAAAAAAAAGCTGGTGCGGTGGGGATGGATTATATTAGGGTTGGGAGGTTACAAATCTAAATGAATTAGTACAGCTGAAAGTGATAAAGTTACTTTCAAATAAACGCTCCGAAGCGAATCTGTAATGGTATAGCACCGTCGATACTTGTATTTAAGTATCAATAAAATAATTGTACCTAAAGACAATAATGTGCTAAAAAATGTGTTTTTTTGTAATAGGGTCACTACGATTAGGGATTTGATCGTTTGTCTGTAATAATGTATTGCTAAAGCTACCCATATATCGTGCCTAATTAACAATACAATAGAAATATTTTCCAATACACGTTGACTGTTGATCAACATACACATTGCAACCTAATGATTGACAATGGTCAATGTGTAAATTTTTCCCCTTTTTAGGTTTTCCTTATTAAAAAGTTGAAAAAAGTTGAATAGTAAAAAACCCAATAATTGCCAACCGAAGAAACTGGTTCAGTGACCGAGTTCAAATCCCTTCTAAGCTGTTAGATTTTTACTGGTTTTTATAAGTTCTATTACTTTAAATATA